GAGTATCTGTACATCTGAGCGCCCTGCGCCAATGAGTATCTGAGCGCACCGCGCTAATGAGTATCTGTATATCTGAGCGCATTGCGCCAATGAGTATCTGAGCGCATCGCGCTAATGAGTATTTGTATATCTGAGCGCATCAAGCCAATGAGTATCAAGGTCTCCGAACATCTGAGCTTACCGCGCCAAAGAGCATCAAGGACGCTGTATGTCTGAGCGAACTGAGCAAGTCGATTTACCGTGCCATAGGCACTTGAACTGAGCAAGTCGATTTACCGTGCCGTAGGCACTTGAACTAAGCAAGTCGATCCATTGTGCCAGCAGGGACTCAAACTGAGTATCATTATGATTTATTGTGCCAGCAGGCACTCAAACTGAGTATCATTACGATTTATTGTGCCAGCATGCACTCAAATTGAGTATCATTGCCAATTTATTGTGCCAACAGGGACTCAGATTGAGTATCTTTGCCAATTTATTGTGCCAGCAGGCACTCAGATTGAGTATCTTCGCCAATTTATTGTGCCAGCAGGCACCCGGATTGAGTACACCGATTTTGTTGTGCCAAGGGGCACCCAGACCGAGTAGACCGATTTTGGTATGCCAAGGGGCACTCAGATCGAGTACACCGATTTTGCGAATGTGCGCACTCAAACTTGAGTGCGACACTGCGCCCTTAATTTGAGAAAGCCAATGATGCATACGCGACTGTGCGCCCTCAGATTTGAGTGCGACACTGCGCTTATTATATGAGGAACCCGTTTTAATGATCTTGAGTATATGCGACTGTGCGCACTCAGATTTGAATGAGACGTTGCGCTCTTTATCTGAGAAACCCGCTTTGATGATTTTGAGTATRTGCGACAGTGCGCACTTTGTCTGTAAATTTGGCATGACAATTTTGAACATGTGCAACAATGTGCACTCAATTTGAAAACTCAGCATTGATCATTCTAAGCAATTGTGACTGTGCGCTCTCGAATTTGGGTGTGACACTGCATGATCAATATGCAAAACTCAACTTTGATGATTTTGATTTTTGCTCAATCTGCGTACACTGCTTCTGATGATTCTGAGTGCGCGCCCAGCCTCAGTTTGGCTGTTTGAGTGCGCGCCCAGCCTCAATTTGGCTGTTTGAGTGCGCGCCCAGCCTCAATTTGGCTGTTTGAGTGCGCGCCCAGGCTCAGACAAAGTTGTTTGAGTGCGCGCCCAACCTCAGTTTGGCTGATCGAGTGCGCGCCCAGCCTCCGTTTTGCCGTTCGAGTGAGCGTCCAGTCTCAGTTCGGCTGTTAGAGTGCGCGCCCATGCTCGCCCAAGCTGGGCACTGCTGTTAGAGTGCGCGCCCATGCGCGCCCAAGCTTGGCATTGTTGTTAGAGTGCGTGCCCGTGCGCGCCCAAGCTTGGCATTGCTAATTGAGTGTGTGCCCAAGCGCACCCAAGCTTTATATGGTTATTTGAGTGCGCACCCATGCGCGCCCATGCTCAATATTGCTTTCTGAGTATGCACCCGTGCATGCCCACGCCCGGTATTAGTTTTTGAGTGTGCGCCAATGCGCGCCCAGGCTTGATATTGATATTAGAGTGCGCGCCCATGCGCGCCCTAGCTTGGAATTGATCGAGTGCGCGCCCAGTCTCAGTTTGGCTGATCGAGTGCGCGCCCAGTCTCAGTTTGGCTGATCGAGTGCGCGTGCAGTCTTAGTTTGGCTGATCGAGTGCGCGCCCGGTCTCAGTTTGGCTGATCGAGTGCGCGCGCAGTCTCAGTTTGGCTGTTAGAGTGCGCGCCCATGCGCGCCCAAGCTTGACATTGATGTTAGAATGCGCGCCCATGCGTGCCCAAGCTTGACATTGCTGTTAGAGTGCGCGCCCATGCGTGCCCGAGCTCGGTATTGCTATACGAGTGTGCGCCGGAGCTCGGTATTGCCATATGAGTGCGCGCCCGTGCGCGCCCAAGCTAGATATTGTCATTTGAGTATGCGCTCACATGCGCCCATGATCTGTATTGCTATTTGAGTGCGCGCCTATGCTCGGCATTGCGATTTGAGTGCGCGCCTATGCTCGGCATTGCGATTTGAGTGCGCACCCATGCGCGGCCAAGCTTGGAACTGTGGTTTGAGTGCGCACCCATGCGCGCCCAAGCTTGGAACTGTGATTTGAGTGCGCGCTCATGCGCGCCCAAGCTTAGTATTGCTCTTGAGTGTGTGCCCATGGGCGCCTACGCTTGGCATTGTCACATGAGTGCGCCCTGGCTCGGGTAGGCTATGTGAGCGAGTGCTATGATGATTTTGGAACGCACGTTTAGCTGATATGATGATTGGGGATGCATGTCCAGGGAGTGTGATTAGTCTTGAGGACGTGACTGGATGCCTCTGATGGTATGATTAGCCCAAAAATCTCGCTGATTTGATTTCTTGCTGATCAGTCTCTGCATGGACGATATTCATACCAGACTCCGTGCGGACGGTATTTTTCCCGCACACATGATATCAGGGCGGTCCGGTTTGCACCCGCAGTATTTTGCGACTGGCCCCTGCATAGATAATATCTTGATGATCAGCCCCTCTCAGTTACGATACTTGCAGTTCAGTCCTCA